TAAATTGAGCACATCAAAGGCTCAAACAACTAATCACCCCAAAAAGCCTGAACCAGTTGGTACCTGTTAGAGTATGTGTGGCTCATATTTGCTATGTGCATAATTGCAATGAGGCAGATGCCGGAGTGGGCGGAGCGTAGCGGAGTGGAGCGAAGCGGAACGTAGCGAAAGAGGGTGCATCAAAGTCTGCAAACGTAGTGGAAGAAGAAGATTCAGAGATTGGTGACGGTGATATGCTTTCTGTTTTATCTAGTTCAGATCGTTTAACAGATTCTTGGATTATGGATTCAGCATATTCCTATCACATGACACCCAACAAAGATTGGTTTGACACCTACAGGTCAGTAAATTCTGGTTCTGTTCTGATGGGTAATGATGCATCTTGCAAAGTTGTTGGAATAGAAAATATTAGAATTAAGATGTTTGATGGTACGGTTAGAACGTTGTGTGATGTTAGACATGTACCGGATCTAAGGAAGAATTTGATTTCATTGGGCACTTTGGATTGTAATGGTTATAGTTACAAATCTATAAGTGGAGTAATGAAAGTGAGTAAAGGCATGCTAACAGTGATGAAGGGACAGAAAGTAGTAGGAAACATTTACAGACTGTTGGGTACTACAATTGTAGGTGGAGTTGATGCTGTAGAGTCTGAATCAGATAATACAGTCTTGTGGCATATGCGGCTGGGTCATATGAGTGAGCGTGGGATGATAGAGCTTCATAAGAAAAATCTATTAAAGGGTGTCAAGACATGCAAGCTCAATTTTTGCAAATATTGAGTTCTTAGAAAACAGAATAGGGTGCAGTTCAAGACAGCCACACACAAGACAGAGGGGGTTCTCGACTATGTCCATACAGATGTTTGGGGACCAGTTAGCGTAGTATCACAGGGAGGATACATGTATTTCGTGAGTTTCATTGATGATTACTCACGAAAGGTCTGGGTGTACTTCATGCGGCACAAGTCAGAAGCGTTTGCCAAGTTTAAGTTGTGGAAAGCTGAAATAGAGAACCAGACAGGGAGGAAGATTAAATGCCTCAGGTCAGATAATGGTACTGAGTACACAGATTCAAAGTTCCAGGAGTTGTGTGAGCAGCATGGGATCAAGAGACACTTCACAGTCCGCAAGACACCACAACAAAATGGTGTAGCGGAAAGGATGAACAGAACGATAGCCGAGAAAGCTTGGTGTCTCAGGTTGAATGCAGGGCTTGCAAAGAATTTCTGGGCAGAGGCAGTAAATATGGCATGTTTCTTGATTAACAGATCACCGAGGGCAGCACTAGATGGGAAAGTATCAGAGGAGGTGTGGACAGGCAGTGAGGTAGACTACTCTGGTTTGAGAATGTTTGGATGTCCAGCCTATGTACATGTTTCTAGTGAGGAGAGGTCGAAGCTTGATGCGAAGTCTAGACAGTGTATCTTTCTGGGATATCAGAAAGGAGTGAAAGGCTTCAAGTTCTGGGATCCGAAGGCAAACAAGATGGTGATCAGCAGAGATGTGATTTTTGATAAAAAAAAAGCCATGTTGCAGCGTACTCAGGAAGAAGAGAAACAAGTACCAGAAAACTGTAGCACTAATGACCATGTGGTGCAGGTGGATCTAGAGAATCATGGTAGAGAAAAGGATGCTCAGCATGTAGAGCGTTCTATCTCAGGTGATCAACAACATCATAGTATAGCCACAGACAGGCCCAAACGCAATATCAAGCCACCTACCAGGTATGGTTTTGAAGATTTGGTTTTTTATGCACTTATTACTAGTAGCAGGGATCCTACAACTTTTCAGGAGGCAATACAAAGCCAAGAGAAAAGTAGATGGATGGGTGCTATGGTGAAGGAGATGGAGTCTCTGCATAAGAACCAGACGTGGGAGTTAGTGGAACTTCCCAAGGGGAAGAGAGCAATAGGGTGCAAATGGGTGTATAAGAAGAAAGAAGCAGTATCAGAAAAGGAGGGAGAAAAATTCAAGGCTCGTCTAGTAGCAAAGGGTTACTCACAGAGAAAAGGGGTTGACTATGATGAAATCTTCTCCCCCGTGGTCAGACACACTTCCATCAGGACAATGTTGGCACTAGTAGCACATTCAGATATGCAGTTGGAGCAGATGGATGTAAAGACAATTTTCCTTCATGGCGACTTGGAGGAATGGATTTACATGGTACAGCCAGAAGGGTTCAGTCTCCCTGGAGAGGAACATTTGGTCTGTAATTTGAAGAAATCACTTTATGGGCTGAAGCAGCCTCCGAGGCAGTGGTACAAACGATTTGACTCTTACATGATCCGAATTGGCTACAAAAGGTGTGAGTATGATTGTTGTGTCTATGTAAAAAGGCTTGATGATGATTCATTTATTTTTCTGTTACTTTATGTGGATGATATGTTGATTGCTACCAAGAGTATGAGTGAGGTCAACAAGTTGAAGACTTTGTTGAGTAGAGAATTTGACATGAAGGATTTGGGTACGGCCAAGAAGATTCTTGGGATGGAGATTCGCAGGGACAGAGCTTCCAGGAGATTATGGCTATCTCAGCATAGCTATGTTGAGAAGGTGTTGGACAGGTTCAACATGAGTTATGCAAAATCAGTAAGTACACCTTTGGCGAATCATTTCAGATTGTCTACCGCTCAGTGCCCGAAGACAGATGATGAAGTTCATGACATGTCAAAGGTCCCATATGCTAGTGCAGTGGGGTGTTTGATGTATACTATGGTTTGTACAAGACCATATTTGGCACAAGCTGTCAGCGTGGTTAGCAAGTTTCTTTCAAATCCGGGTCGACAGCATTGAGATGCAGTCAAGTGGATTTTCAGATACTTGAAGGGCACTACAGACTATGGCATCATGTTTAGCAGACAACAGAGTGACCCTTCAGTTATGGGATATGTGGATGTAGACTATGCAGGGGACTTGGATGACAGGAGGTCTACCACAGGTTATGTGTTTACTCTTGTGGGAGGACCTATTTGTTGGAAGTCCATGGTACAGCCTATAATTGCACTATCTACTACTGAGTCAGAGTATATGGCAGTAGCTGAGGCTGCCAAAGAGGCTTTGTGACTTACAGGTTTAGTCAAGGAGCTGGGTGCCCAGCAAAGTGGAGTTCAATTGCATTGTGACAGTCAGAGTGTCATTTATTTGACAAAGAACCAGGTGTATCATGCAAGGACCAAGCATATAGATGTGAGGTTTCATAAGATCAGGGAAGTGGTTTCTTCTGGTGAACTATTACTTGAGAAAGTTCACACTTCTGAGAATGCAGCAGACATGTTGACAAAGCATGTTACTACAGACAAGTTCAAGCACTGTTTGGACTTGATTAATGTCTCTAGTTGCTAGATGGGAGATGCCTCAACTCAGCGTCCCCGGTGGAGTTCTCGAATACATGTCCTCTTTTTTCTCCTAAGGAGTGAATGTTTGCCAAGGCGGAGATTGTTAGAGTATGTGTGACTCATATTTGTTGTGTGCATAATGGCAAGGAGGCAGATGCCGGAGTGGAGCGGAGCCCGCGACGGTATCTGCCTTGCGAGATTTATATAAAGGGGACGCTGGTTAGTTGGGGGTACAGGGGTATTTTTTGTAAATACGTCTGTATTAGGGTTATATATATACTGAAGATGTAACTCTACTTTGAATAATGAAAAAGAACGGCCGCTCACTCTCGTAGATGTAGGCACATTGTCGAACCACGTAAATCTCTGTGTGTTATTTTCTCTTGCTTTCTTAATTGTTTGATTCCTTACTACTCACCATAATTGCTGCACAATCACAATAGTACCATTGACATGGCCATTTCAAATCAAAACAATTATATTATTAGCAACCTAATTTCAACTTGAGCTCCATGTAAACTTGGACAAATTCCACCATAATCATAGATTCATAGCAGAAAGAAAGCTGAAAATATGCTAAGCAACATTGATAAATTAGCCTCACCTAGTAAATTTCACCCAACTTCATCAAAACAGGCCAATCAAATTCCAACATATTAGAGAAAAAAGACAGCCAAAGTATTAAAGAAAGATACATCACTTGAAAGGTACCAATTAAACAAGGAGAATCATATACCCTATGCAACAGAGCACAAAATTAATCAAACTCAAACCAAGCATATCAAATTACAAAGAAACAAACTTCAGCCTGCCATTATCGAATTGCTTCTTTTTACACGAAATTTTGAGCAAAACATTGTAGGTTTCCAAATTGGGCGACACACCCATGGTTTCAAAGTACCTAAAAAATAACTTAGCTAGATTCCATTTTTTAGATACAACGAAAGCATCTACAGTAATTTTCTGTAGATATAAAAATTACAACATTCTACAATTGTAGGTTAGATATAAAAATTACCTGAAATTATGTTAGATTTGAGCTCATCTTAGTTGTTCATTGTAACAAATCTGATCCTTGTTTCGTTGAGAGGGAAGCTCCGAGATTGATAGCAGCAGGACTCTATAGAGATGGAGTCTCAGATCTCCGACAGAGATGCAGATCTGATGAGAGTGTGTGTGTGTGTGCATGAGAGAGAGAGAGGAGACTAGATGAATCGAGAGAAAGCAAAGTGCGATCGGGGTTTTTTTATCAGATGGATTGGCCATTATGGAGTGGATTGGGAAAGAAGAATACCATGTTGGATTTGGTAATGCCTAATCTCATAATTTGTGGGATTAGATATTCCTTTGGAATGAGAATGAATTTTAAATCCTGCAAACCAAACATTGGAATAGGATTCCCATGGAATGATCATTCCATTCCTAAGGCCTAATACTATATACCAAACATAGCGTAAGACAGCATGGGAATTGTTGAGAACCATGGAATAGGACTGACCACCTATCTCCTGGCGTGTGAGGCTGACCATTTGTGGGATGCCATTAGGGAAGTTGAGAATTACAGAGAAAACATTTCCATGACAAAAAATATCTGGATGAAATTCAAAAGTTCATATTTGATAGCACTAATGCTTGCACATTTTCTTTCCTTTTTACATTTTCTTATTTCTTCCTCGTTTCTAATTCTCTTTTTTAAAGATCTCTAAGCAGAAACAATTGGATTCAACGAAGCAAACGCGAGGAACTCTTCATCACGTTCAAATATGGCCAAGTCTTGTTCTTCCAAAGTAACCATTGCTTCTATTCCATCTCCTGCCGGAGTATCGAATAAGACAAATGTATTCTTCACAACACCAGCAGGCATGCAGACCCATATAGGCTTTCCCCATCCAAAATCCACCTGGTATAATGGGAACCTGCAAAAGCTACTACACCTGAAAACTTCGAGATCATCAAATAGGGTTTTTACATCGTTTGTAGATTCAAGTATGTCTATCAACCAATCATTCAATTTCAGATTGGTGAGTTGTGTTATCTCGTTTCTTAGTTGACACACAAGTTCATGTAACTTGATATGACCACTCTCCTTCTGGCATGATATTGTAAAATACCAAGAAAAATTTCCTACAAAATTTGTAGGCAATGGAGGGACCATTCTCGGGCGCATGTTCACCAAATGGATCCAAACTGGTTGCCTTGAATATGCCCACTTTAACCTAGTTGCAGCCATGGCACACTTATAAAGTAGCGCAGACACCACTTCAACTCGAGACGGATTTTGCACTACTCCTTTTGAATCGCCAGCCAATACCATAGCCTGGAGGTTTTTAATCTTTAAGTCAACAAACACATACCTCCTTGTGACACACTTACTTTGCTGATCAAGCTTAATTTCAGGTACAATAAAAGGGGGTACATTTAGTACTGGAAGAATAGAATTTCCAATGAAATAAGGTGAAACATTTGATTGGTGCGTCGTCATCGTCATCGTCATGGCAGCCCAGTCACCGAGAAAGGTGGTTATGGAACTTCCATCGGCAATCTTGTGCGATGTGCACAAACTGATGGCCATCCCACCACAATCAAAGAAACTTACCTGTATGGTCAGTAGACTATCATTGCACGAATCTTTCTTCCACAGGAAACCACTCGGGAAGAGTAGATTTAGGGTTCCAGTACACTCAGATTCTTTTAGAATTTCGGATAATTGGCATTCCATCCGAACATCCAAAAAGTCGACTCCCTCGTCATTACAATTGATGAAGGTTGTGTTTGTTAGCCTTCCAGCGAATGGGTAGTATTGAGTCAGCATTTCAGACAAGGACTTCTTGAGTTGGCTAGATTTGTGAGCAGGATTGGAAGTGTTGTCACTGTCAGAGCCCCCATTGGGGTGGAAGAAAAGAACCATGGGCATATATAAAGGAGGGGCTAGCTGATCTAACAGTGAGAGCTTGTAACATCGGAGGTGAGGAGGGGTTGGAGAGGAAGGCCTAATTGTTTCTCTTGAGATTATTTGAAGTTTCATTTTTTGGGGTGGTGTACAAGTGTTTAGGTTGGAAAGGAGGATGGCCTAATATGCTCAAAACAGATGGTGATATTCCATGAAATAGCTTAGCCTTCACAGCTTATTTATATTAGCAGTCCTGGAAAGACATTTCAAAAAGTAACCCTTATGATCAGCTCAACTAACTAGCTACGTTTATAATACACCATTGAAATGAGCCATAAATATTAATAATAAATAACTTTTATGATCAGCTCAATTGATTAATGTAATATTTGTTGCTATATATATGGAAGAATGTGGTTTGGCGAGAAAATCTAACTGTTCGAACGGCAATGTCGTGAGTTACAATGAGCCAATGTTGTTTTTTCATCGTCGATTTGTTAAGCTGTTTCATTTTTAGTGAGCTTGTTTGTGTTCTAATGTTATTTGGAGTTACATTCACAAACGGTCAATAAAATTTGAAGTTTGGGCCACACTTCAATAAAAATTCTTTAATTTTTAAGTGTATGGTAATAGACAAACAAAAAATTTAAATCCATAAAGAATAAGTCGTACAAAAAACTTAAATTTATGCCAAACAAAATATGTCAATTTGAATGGATTAGGTCTACTAATTAATATGATTGCAAATGTTCGAACATAAAACTTAATTAATACTTTTATATTTCAAAAAATAAAAACTTAAATTTATTATTTATATTTAAATTTTTAAAATAAAAAACAGTTATTGTTTCCACTTTAGCTAGGTCCAAAATGTCTCGGGCCACCCCTAGTTAAGTTATTATCGTTATTGGATTGATAATGAATCTCATATTCAAATATTCATTATAATTCAAAGAAGCTAGTAAAATTAATTCAAAAAATTAAATACAAATAATGATATTTTTTCATAATAAACCAAAAAAAAAACCATAGCATGGGGCCAATTCCCCTGTTTTCTATGTATTTTGATAAGAACTGCTAAGGAACTAGTCAGTATCGAACCAAAAGAATTATTATATTCCTGTTTGGATGTTGCTTATTGCAGCAAATGAAACAGCCGGATTCTTGCCGCTTTATAAAGTTGATTATGTAAAAAGGTAATTTGAAATAAAAGAACAAACTTATTCTATCATTATATAACGAAAGTGATTTAAATGAATCTTGATATATATTAAAATAAACATTACTTAAAAAAATTAATACTTAAATCTTTTTTCTTCTTATTGCTTGGTTAAATTAGTTAAGGAATATATATGTGTGTGTGTGTGTGTGTGTGCCTTTTTTTAAAAGGAGACTCGACGCTATGATGATGACAGTGGGTTTGAAGGAAAAATAATAAGGTCCATAGGAAATTTATGGGTCATATAATGGCTTTAAAACTTGCTGAACTCCAATCCGATTCATTTAAATTTCGGTTCAGTTCGTGTCATTAATAAATTATGTCGGATTTATATTAACCCTTTGGACCAGTTACAGTGACATGAACCATTAATTAAAGAAATTTAAATCACTTGTAAATTCAATTTGAAATGGGAAAAAAATTTAAACCACATGAAAGGGCAAAGACAATCAAGAGAAAAGAGGCCTCGCATGTGGTAAACCTTTCTATGGTTGATCATTTTAAGCATTAGGGCTTGACCATTTCTGAATATGCATGGTGGCTTTCTCTGCCTGCAAATTCAGCCATAACAAGGTCGGATTTTGCTTTATTTTAGCATATATACAGATGGAAAAATGTAGCCAAGAGACATTTTGATAAATTTACCTCCTTTTCCCAGTCACACCGCAATGTTATGATGACCAATATGACCGTCTGTACTGCAGTTCCACCAAAAATCATTCCACCCCAGATACCCTAATTTTTTCATTGAAATGAAAGTGAATGAATTAATTTTATGAAATTCCATATATATATTTTATTAACTATAAACCACAAATTCGAAGTAGTTCAAGTTGCTTATAGTCACCACAATTTCGATGAAATTCAAATTTTAAGCTACCAAATCTAGAAATTATCTTCCTCTCATGGAAATCTAATAACAGTGCAGAAGAATGCGAGCATTGCCAAATAGTTCTTACTTAGACAGCTTTGGATACATATACAAAATCAGTAATGTTATACCGACCAAATTTTAAGACTAAATTTAAAGTTCAAATGACGTGATAGCATATTATTTGAAGTTTTTATTGGGATCCAAATGACATGACATCAAATAAAAAAATCCAAGTCAGTCGTCATGTCATTTAAACTTCAAATTTAGTCTTAAAATTTGGTTGTATAAACAACGTATAGAGAGAATGAAGATAATATCTTTTATCGAAGCTGGTCGACAAGCAATGAAACAAAATGCTTGGAAAAATATGGGTGCGGATATGTCTACAGCTGGAAGGAAAAGATTGAAAGGAAAACAAGCTACCTGAACTCCAGTGTTAAAAGCCCACCCCATAAGAATTCCAAGGGGCATACCAATAAGGTAGTAGCAACCCAAATTTATATATGCAACCCAGGCTTGCCACCCTGATCCGACGGCCACCCCTAAAAACGAAGCAAATCTTCTGTGGATTAGAAGAGTAATCATGTACTTATCAAATTTTTTTTACCCAAGAAAATATGAATTGTTAAATTAGTAGTTTATATTAATCCAATACTACATAATAGATTTAATTTGGTAGACGATATTTATTTAGAGTAGCAGTGCCCGAATCAGAATGAGACATGCAAGCATTGTCAATCAAAAAGGTGGAAGATTAAATAAACCTGATAAAACTGGTTGAACACTGTTGAGAAGAATTGTAAATGCTAAGAGGTATGAGAGCTTATCAACGGCTACAAGGACTTCTGTGCTTGAAGTGAAGATGAGAGCAAACTTGTCATGTAAGATCATTATAAGCGCGCAGAAGAAGAGGCCGACTACACTGGAATGCACCACCGACACCGTTGTCGCAAACTTTGCGGCCTCTCCGTTCCCGGCGCCTAGCTCATTGGCCACCCTTACACTGTGATAATCACAATTTAAGAGACACTTAGTTGGGATGAAAATTTCACAAGCCACTTTAAAAAAATGGTGCAATGAAACGTTTGGTGCATATGAAAAATGTTTTAACAAGTGATTGTCTTAGTTCATTGTGTCAAATGGAAGCCAATAGAGAGTAAGGACTTGGTGGCTGACCAAGAACTACCTCATTGATTAGATAACTGTGGCTTCATTCAATTAAATAGGATTCATATATACTCATATCTTATATAGTTTGGGGGAGGTTTGTAACCTATATCTTAACGTGACCCGACCTAAAGTTTAAGTTCAAGTTCAGAGTAGTTTGTTTTGAATTTATATTTTTTGGTACATAATCTATCACATGTCGATTACAACATATGGATCAACTATGAAACAGCTAGAGTACCCAAATTAACTTAAGTCAGTGGAAATAAAGCAAATACATTAGAGACTGTATTAACAGCCTAAGCAACAACAATAGCAATATCGTCAACAACTCACTTTCTATTTAAATTATATCACTATAATTTCAGAAAAAAAAATGGGCAGAAAATCAATCACTATAATTTAGGTATTACTGAAGAATGTAATTGAAATAAAACAATTAAAATTTTAAGGATTAATTTAAAATCCAAGACAAAATTTAAGGGGTAATTATGATAATTACGCAAAAAATTATTAATTCATTTATTTATTCAAGCACTAACATTTTAATTCATTTAAAATGTCCTTACTTGTTTTCAGGGTGCCGTCCTTTACAAAAGGCACGAAATTATATGGGTGCTGTCATTTACAAAAGGTATGGAATATGAAGGCTTTTAAAGACGTTTTAAAAAGCCAGACAATTTAAAGGCGTCAAACAGTTTGACGTCTTTAATAACAACGTCAAACGGTTTGACGTTTTTAAGGTGGATGTGGGTCAGAATCTTTGCATTAAAAATGTCAGACCAAATAATATTTTTAAATTGGTATGAATTTAAAAAATATTTTGAAAGCATGTCTTAGTTGGGACTTTTTTCTAAAAATGCCATGGGATGGGTCAAAACCTCCCGCTGCTGCCGACAAATAAAGCAATGTACTAACGAAAAGCCAGCCATTAATATTTCACAATTCACATCCACTACTTCAAACTGCTTGGTAGTTGGCACATACCATCTTTTTAATGAGTAATTATACAGAATAAAAAATAAATAAAAACAGGTATCGTACCAAAAATTATTAATTTTTAAGATTAAGTAACACATTTTAAAAGATGAAGTTATAATTACTTAAGGTAGTTTCATGATTAATCATAGAATGTTAGGATCGATCATGAATAACTTTGATCAGTTGTAATTTTACCTTTAAAAATTATAATTTAACCTTAAAAATAATAATTTTACCTTTAAAAGTTATAATTTTTATTATTTTTTCACTTGTAACTTCTATTTTAAAAACAAATGTAATATGACCTCAAAAATTTATAAATTTCGGTATAATACAAAAATCGGAACAATAGTCTCCCTCCTCTTTAAGTAGCTACTATATTATTTTTTCAAAGTACTAAGTTGACCAAAAAATAAAGTTCAATAAAAAATAAATAATATAGCGCTGACCTAGTAAATAGCATTTCAATTCTTGAATTAATAACAATGAGACCAAAAGCATCGATCGTTATAACAAACACCATATTGTTCTTGGGTTTTAGTTTTATTTAGTTTTAGTCATAGTAGCTCGAACCTTACATTTGTGGGCAAGGTGAAAATCTTCCTCCTATGGACTCAGTCCTCTTTTGCTCATTTTTAATTCCACTTTTTAATTAATTAGCACTATAATATCATTTTTGGTATCTAAAATATATATATTTTTTATTGATTTAGTTCTTATTATATCAATTTTGTCAACTTTATTTTTAAAGTATTTAATCCGTAACAGTTTGGTCGCTAATCAGATAATCCGTCAAATTATTTAACATAAGTGACCACGCATCATTTTTTTAGATGATATCGCATGCCTAACACGTGATTATTTCGTTAAAAATTTAATGACTCATCTATATATGGACTAAAATAACACGAATTGAATATTTTAATGACTAAATTGGTAAAATTAATACAATGAAAGCCAAATTGACAAAAAATACATAGAAACTAAAAGTGCTATTAACCTTTTTTTTCCTTGAACTTCTATTGATTTGGTGATTTTGTGGGTTTATTTTATCACTTTAACTAACAAAAACAATAAAAATAGTGAAGTAAGAATTGAAAAAAGTACCCGGTAGCCGCAAAGAAAGCAAGAGGAATCATCAATTCCCATCCATTAATACTCATGCTGCAAGCAAACATAGACAAATCAAAGAAAGCCACAACCTTTTTTTCCTGACAGAAAAAATTGCATACCAGATGGATAATGCATCCACAGCGATTGTAGCATTCTTCAAGTACCCAGTCATTAATATCAGTATTCTGTAATACCAATTCTCCAAGCTGCATAATTCACATAAAAAATTACACACTTTTAATGTATACAAAGTGAAAGATCCGAGCAAAATTAGCACAAACGAGAGGGTTCAAATGTTGTGTATGTGGCGTAAAAAGCCATACCAAAGCATGACGCCAGAGGCTGCAGAAAGTTTGACAAACTCCCAAAGACCAGAAAAGGCTTGCATAGAAAAACCAGTCCAAGTTAGGGGACAGCCACCCCAAATAGTGTAGCCAAACATGCCAAAAAAGTAGAGCCACCAGGACACATCCAAAGTAACGGCGGTTCCGACCACCCCAAGTTGAAAGTGATACACAAAAATCCAACTAATCAACACATGAATCACCAAAACCACCAATGAAATCCATGCCATAACCCCAGCCTTGAGTTGGCTCTGCAAGAACCTCTGCACCGGAAATATGAACGCAAAGCTTAAATGCAGAGGGATAAACCAGAGAGACACCGAGCCAGAGAGCTCGGCAACGTCGTCTGGTTGGCCAAGGAGCTTTAGAATCGGTGTGGCGAAAAAGTACAGTGGCAGTAGAATGAAGCAACATAGTAGTAGGACAACCCACGACCTTTGCATGTAGATACCTAGCATCTGGTACCTTTTGGCTCCGAAAGCTTGCCCACATAGTGTCTCTAATGCACTTGCCATCCCTAACTGAATCACATAAAACCAGAACAAATGTCAGAAAAAAAAAAAGTAAGATTTTTTTTTAACAATGTTTGCCTTGCGCTCTGAATTATTATTACTATAAATCCTTATTTCTAAGATCATATCATGTACTTAGCTAAACCCTTATTTAAATTTGAATAAAAAAATGATAAAAAAATTCGATTTGACATAAACTTCTACAGGCAAACCTTTTTTTTGTAATCAAATCTTTTTTAAAAATTCCCATGTTATCCCAAAAACTCTTTTTTTTTTTGCACGAAATATATATAGATTCATGGATAGATAGATATATATATATATATATTTTGTCCAAAAGTATATAGATGCTTATGTAGTATATATAGATTTTTATATGTACTGTATTTGTGACAAAAGAAGAGAGAGAGAGAGAATTTACCTGAAGAGGTCGATCGACAAAAATAGAGTTGAGTGATTCTAATTTAAATTTAGGCCTAAAAAAGGGTATCGACTGAAAATGCTCTAATTAACTATTGTTCATATAAAAGTTATGGTTTAAGCAGAAGTTTTCAATCCAAAACTGTGTTTGCTAAACATGGTTTCAACAGAAAGCGATAAAAGTTTCTAAATCAAAAAACACGGCGTCAATCACACTTTGAAATTAACATTAGGCCCGCTAATTTTACAAACAACTGGTGAATACAAGATAAAATTAATATGAAATTAGCAAATTTGAGTTGAAGGGTGAACTTGTTAAATTCATAAAATTTAATGTGGATCTTTTAAACATGACTTATACATGTTAATTGACAACACGAATCCGATAATACAAACTCGGATTAGACAAAACATGAACTGGACACCACCCGGCTTTATTGAACATTGATATATTGCCATTGATTGAAGAAACTAATGCATAATAAGAAATGAATAAACATAAGGAAAGAAAGAAAGTGTGTACATACAAAGAGGCCGAAATTGAAGCCGACAATGACGGTGTTGGCGATGGAGATGGCGGCGAGTTCGACATCACCAAGGTGGCCGGCGAAGGCTTGGGTGATGACGGTCATGGAATAGATGGCGACCCGGCTGAAGATGGAGGGGCCAACTATTTCCCATAGCTTCTTTGATTCAATCCACACCCTTGTTTTTATTTCTGTCTCTTCTTGATACTCTTCGGGTTGGCTCTTCACTATGCCGTTTGACTCTGAGTGTTGTAGTAATGATTGGTTGGCTTCTTCTTCTTCTTCACTAAACTTCCCCATCTGTAGCTCTGTTCAGAAAAGATGTTTTTGGGTCAGAATTGAGCGCAGCAGATATTTATTTAAGAGATTGAAAAGGTGAGATCAAAAAAGAATGAATGTTCCTTTCAAAAAAAAAGAATGCATGTTGACCGTTTGATAAGAATTGCTGCCAAGTCATAAAATATGTGTTCTACGATGGATTGATGTTTGTCCATAATTCCACTTCTTGTCATTAACATTTTTTTTAATTGTTTTATTGATCACTATCAGGTTTGAATATATAAAATTTGAAAATTTTGCCCAATTGGATAACAATAATCTTAATTAGAAATGTGGGTATTCTATACTCATGACCAATGGTAATAATCTCATACATACATTTATTGAGTATTCTATAAAAGGAATAAAAATCTCAGTTGAGATAGTGACTCGTTTAATTATCTAGAGTGATAAACTTGAAAACTACTAAATAATTAGAAAAGGGGTTGGATGTGTATCCCGTTAATCCCCTCTGAAATTCAAGTCAGTCAGCACATCAGTTAAAATGTATAGTGTATTCTTCATTTGAGATTGTGTGCCTTGGTATAGCCATTGTGAGGGATATTTATACATGAGTTTGCAATGATGGCCCTGTCCTTAAGTCTCATCTTAGAACCTAATGGCATATGCTCATATTCTAGTGTAATGAGTGTCATTTTATCAAGTTCCATTAAAACTATTCCTCTCAGACGAGTGGACCCTTATTTGGGAATCGCCGAGCATTCATGGTCTAATCTCCCCGTCATTAAATATCTCATATCGGCACTTAGAACCTACGCCCGAGCTTTCATGAGAGGGGATAAACTGTCCTCGGTCTGTCCCGAGGTCTTCATGTCAACACGATGGTTATTAATGTCTCTTCATAATTATTATCCCCACAAGTTTTCGGATCTGGACACTCATTAATAACTCTATTAAACCACTCGAGACCCACATTAATGAGCTGTCAGATCCTATTTAATGCTAGGCTCCAAGGGCCATACTTGGCCCTATATGACATAACTCCTCCGCTCCTCTCTCAAATATGTTTTGCGTGTTTTGATAGTTGTATTTGTCCATGTGTACATTTTTTACTAGTGAGTCGCCTAATGTCCCGTCAGATTAATATGTTTGGAATGGATGACAATCATGTTTGGAAAGTCCATTATTCACTAATCTAAATTGGAAATAAGATTACTATCATAATCTAATTCCCAATAATATTGGGTATCCTAAAATAATGACTAATGGTAGTAATCTCATGCCTACATTCATCGGGTATTATATAAAAGAAATAAAAATTTTAAAATAAAGCTCCTTTCTAAAATTAATTTCATTTCAAAACTTAAGTTCTCCTCATAAAATCAATTTTATTTCTAAAATTAAATTATTTCATAAAATAATTTTGTAATGACATTAATTCCAACACCATATTACTGACAATAACCAAATACTAAATATGAAATTACTATGGTAATTAAAATCTACTGTTAACAAAACGTGCCCCTAGGCTATTATTGAACTACCTTCACCAGTCCTTCTTTACATTATTTTTCTTACTATAGTTCACAATCCCACATTGCTTGCATAACTTCCAAGGAAAAAACTATGGTATCGTACTATAAATTATAACTTTTTAAGGTTAAGTTATAATTTTTTTAAGATGTAAGTTACAATTTTTAAAAAGCATGATCAGTCATGAAATGTTATGATCAATATTAAAAGTTCATAATTAGTCATGGATGTTTGTGATCAATCATTACCCTCTTTAATTGATCATGAGTGTTTGTGATCAATCATTACCCCCTTTAATCGGTCATGAGTTTTGGTGGTGGATTTTTGGTGGTTGGATGGTAGTTTTTGCGGGTATTTTGGTGGATTTTCATGGGTTGGGTGATGGGTTTTCGGGGGTTAAGCGGTGGATTTTGAAGGGGTTGGGTGATGGGTGTTCAATGGTGTATGGTGGCGGTTTATGGGTAGTTAGGGTTATGGGTTTTCGAGGGGTTTGGTGGTTGGTTTTCAGGAGAGGTGGGTTTTAAGTGGTTGGGTAGTGAGTTTCTAGGGGAAGTGATTGTGGTGGTTTTTGGGGGTGGTGGATAGTGGATTTTGGGTGGTGGATTTTTAAGGGGGGTGGTGATGGGTTTTCGAGGGTGTTGGTGGCGTTGGGTGGTGGTTTTTCGTTGGTTGGGTAGTGCATCCCCTATTGTGTTTTGACGAGCAACTTATTTAAGATTAAAAAATTAATCAAAACAACCATAATATTAAATATGTTTTTTATTTTTGTTTTATAATTTTTTTAAATATAAATCACTACTAAATATGTTTTTTATTTTTAATTTTTATCGCATAAAAAAAATTAGTTCTTTTTTAAAATATATATAAACCTTACCAATCGTACCTTTAATTTGATTATAAAATTAAATATATAGTTTCCTTGTATCATTAGAATTAGAATTAATATGCTACATAAGTTTATTTATTAGTTCATCTTCAGATTTGACAGGTCTTATATTTAATTTAAGTTTATTTGATTACTACATGTTGAATAAAGATCTAACGAATCAGATTGCTTGATATATATATATATATATATATATATATATATATATATATATATATACAATATAATTCAAATCTCAAAAGATAAATAAAATGACTTTTATTTTTTGCGGTTGAGATCTTTTAAAATTTTACTTTAAAATTAATCTGACGGCTAATATTAACACCCCAAATTTAATAGGAAAAATATTTCTTAAGGGTGTGTTTGAGGTGACTATTTAAAAGTGCTTCTATAACTTATAACTTCTCATAAATACTTTAAAAAAAAATAGTGTTTAAATTCGCACCACCACCACCATCACCATCTTACCACCATCACCACTACCACAACCACTATTCCACCATCCACCACCACCATCACCACAACCACAATCACAACAACCATCGCCGTTGCCACCCCACTACAATTTCTGCCACAATAACCACCACCCCTACCAACATCATCATTACCATTGCTATCGCCGCCGTTGGCACGGCCACTGTCACCCCATCACCACCATCACCACTACCATCATCTCACCACCATTGCCATCATTGCCTAACCATCATCATTGGCGTCGCCATCATTACTGTCGCCACCCCACCACCACCACCACCATCCCTACTATCACTATCCCCACCACCACCAACACCACCATCACCATTACCACCACTACCGTCGTCGCTACCATCACCACTACCCCATCATCACCATCACCACACCCACCGCCCCCACCACCGCCATAACCACCACCACCATCACCACTACCTCCGTCACACCACTACCTTTGCCACCACCACCATCACCTTCACCATCATCGCCTTACAACCACCGCTGTTGCTGCCAAACTTTTTTTTTTATTTCAATGGTCAAAAGTATCTGAGTCAGCTTATGCACACTTCGATTAATTTTTTTCCCGATCTGGTCAATGGCAGACCATCCAACCAAGACTATCAAAAATAATCTCAAATCCAACATGTTTGTGAATGAAACTATTCAAATTTTATATCTCAAATCATTTTACTATTAAAATCTAGTAAGAAATATTAACTTATACATAAAATTATTAGTGAATAACAATCCGGATTAAAATTTCAAAACCAATCACGATTTGAAATAACATTTCAAGTATGCCTACGTTCATAACCATAGAACTTAGAATGTATAATATATACTACAATTTTGTAACTGCACCTCGTATTAAATTCTAGTAACTTTGTTTTAGTTTCGGAAGTAATAACTGAATTAGGCACCATGGCTTAGAAAACGACACCATGATAAAATCACCAACATAGAATCAAGGAGGGCATAATTATTTATCTTGACCACATCATGCTAAAATTCCAGCGTTAGTCAGGAACTCAAGATTGTTTCCACGACCAACCAATCATTTAATTGGTATTTTCTTTTTACCTTAAATGCCATGTAGTAGCCATTATGTTTACTTTGACTACATAAACAAAAGAGAAAAAATAACGTATCAAAATATTATTTTTCTGTCTAGAATTGAAAGTAATTACTATTTGATTGGGTGATATTATAATTTACTCAAATGAAGTTAGAAGCCATATGTTTTTGAGCCGTAAATTGATCCTAACTAAATGTGCATACCTTTTTTTGAATTGCAATTGGGTCGAATGTCAAATACCTACATTTTGTTAGTTAAAAATTTCCCGTTGTAAAAATATGCAAAGTTTGTTTATCTCAAAAAATAAAGAAGATGGAAGTTTTGAGTTCAACTCTCGCGGGGCCATCCACTTGGATAACTCCTTTTAAATTCTTACAGGATTGTATAACATTATTATTAATTATCATTCGGAGATTTGATGCAAAGAAGCGTATAAAAATACGAATATAAGGAACAAAAAGGGGTTAAGAAATAAAACAAAATAAAATTATTGATTTGCGCAAAAAATGTCAGTTTTAAAGGCATCAATTAATATGTTGATTCCGTAGAATCAAACTCTCCTAATTTTATCAATATCTCAAAAACTGCCAAGTCCTAAAACTTACAAAGACTTATATAGTAACAGAAACCTTAAAACTAACTAGAAAATACAAAAACGTGGCATACTTATTATTAATCACGCAATTAAGTTATTATATAAAAAAAAATTCCAAAAGATGAATGTTCCAAACTAAACATATAACTACAATCTACTAATCACATGACTTATGGCAGAATTGACGGAAATCAATTTCGATTTTAAACGGTGATGTTATAAAATTTTTATCTAACCACGTAAGTTTTTGTATTAATGAGTTGTGCTTTCATTTTTTTTTTTTCGTTTACTTATTTATTCTCGTTGCACTAACCAAATTGTTGCGAGCATTTTTCCAACAGAACTAATTCATGTCTTTTTTTTTTTTTTTGCTATTAACTAATTCATGGTTTTTGCCTTTTTCCCTATTATCAGGCTCATCATTGTTAGAAAATGATTTAGACTAGATGCCAATAAGAGAACAAAACAAAGAACTTCAATTTGACGCTGGTTAAGGCAAGTGCCATGAGAATGAAATAAAGTGCCACGAACAATTGAC